AGAAAACACTCGTGCCAGAGATGTCATTTTCCAATTACAGTAAAACAAAAACAAAAAACTGGATGATTACAATTGCAATATTTTATCAATTTGTTTCCTACCAAAAGAAGGTCAGTTTCATCTCTAGTCTATTCTATCACACTAGAACAATGCTTCCCCATAAAAAAAAAAAAAAATCCATTCATATCACCAACCTACTGAAAATTTCCCGCAGGTGTCTACTTCCTACAACAGCAGCTCTCAGTGACAGTCCCCTGATACACAACTGTGCCATCAGTTGTGAGAAATACTTAAAAATACGTAGTGTCATATTCTATCCACCTCATGAATATTCTAGAAGTTGTTACATAATTACAGAAGGAACCAAACCATACAGCATTGCTCTGAGGACCAACTATCTTTTTCTACTTAGGTATGCATGCTTCTGAGTTAAATACTTACTACTGTACTGAGCCTGTGAAAACATGTTTGTGAAATAAATACATAGTGGCTTTTAAAAAATAGTTCACTAAGTATCTATCATTTTCAAACTGAACCCTGAACTGGTATAGCCAGATACTACTGCACTTCAATGGCCAGCAAATCCTTGAGTACTACTAAAAATTAAATTTATTTTTGTTTTAATGCTGGGAATAGGCAGAACTGTAGCTGCTTTCTAATATCCTTTCCTAGTCTAAGAGCTGCATCTGTTACAGATAATATTTACTGATAAAGTACCAATCTTTTCAAGTGATTTATATTATCTGAATAAATCAGAGCTGATTCAAAGCTACTCCTATAGTAAATGTATCCATATCCCACTGTGCTTTCCGGAGCAGGAGAAGAAGGGGAGACTCTCTGCCAGAGTGCTGAAAAGCGTCTAACCCAGAATTCAGGCTACAGTGGGAGATGGGACAAGGCTAATGTATTTGTAACAAGTGAAGCCACAGAAAAAAACGACCTGTGTCGTCTGCAAAATCTACAATATTTACCATCTGGCCCTTTACAGAAAAAGTCTGCTAACCTCTGTTCTATCCTTATGCCATAATTCAGGAAATTAATCTATATATTACTTAATACGCTACATTTCAGAAACAAATGCAACCGTTCAGCCTCCGGGCTGCTGTAGGAGCAGTTTCCCCTCTTCCCCCAGTGCCCTGTCCAGTAGCCCCCTCCAGCCAGAAGACAGCCCTCCAGCACGTTTCTTCTTAGAGCTGAGAACTCAGTGGAGAGTGACTCAAGGCAGGTACCTGTTCTGTTCTTTCTGCCTCAGCCTTGGGTACTGGCTCCTCCACTTCTTCATCATACACACGCTGAATGGGGAAGCAAATTCATTTTCAGAAGGTCAAAACGTCATTTGAAATAAATCACAATGTAACAACTCAATATTCAGTTAAAAAAAGATAAATATGAGGAAGGAAATGGTTATTCAAATGGCTGAGGCCACTACCAGTGGGTCATGGACAAATAGCAAAGAACAACAGCGAATTCACCAAAAATTAGTAATAAAAAGATACAAATGACTAGGAAACATGAAATAACTTCAACCCCATTGTTGACCAGAGAGTTGCAAAAACAGTAAGATACCAGTTTTCACACCTTTTCATTTAACCTAATACATAATGGTGATGGGCAATGATACAGGTATTCTCACCTAAGGCTACCGAGAATGTCAACTGGTGTAACTTATCAACCAGCTAACAAGAGCATTAACATTTGGAGCAATGGAAATGGTAAAGGTAAAATACATTTTCATTTTGTTGCTTGAAATAATCGATAAATTATTATTATTCCATTTACATGAAAGCAGATAGGCAAAATCTCCAACTGATTTGCAAGGCCAGGCTTTTAACTGACCCTTACAGCACTGACAGGCAGGATTCTCTTAGCTAGAATAAATCCGTCACTTTGCCAACTCATTGTGACTTCCTTGTTTTTCCAAACTTTTTTTTTAAACTACTGAAGTATAACACACTTGTTATAAAAAGTCAGTATAAATGAGTTGATTAAAATGTTCTGGAATTAGACAGTGCCCACAGTTATAAAACTTTATGAATACACCAAAAACCACTGAACTATACACTTTTTAAAAGACTGAGTTTCGTGGTATGTGAATTCTATGTCAATTTTTAAAATTTTAAGTCAATATAAAGACATATGTAAAAGAGATATATTTAAAAACAGTTCCCTCTCTACCCACAACTTAATCCTTGGAATAACCAATTTAAGCCTGGTGTGCTCCCTTTACACAAATACATAAAGACGTGCACATACTACGTTCTCCTTCCCTTGTTTTTAAAACAAAAATGCACTCATACTAAACACATTTCTCTGTCCCACTTTCTCACTTAATGTTCTCATAAACCACTTTTTAGGTCAATACATACAGACTTGACTCAATCTTTTTAATAACTGCCTATATCCTATGGTATAAACTATAATTAATTTGACAGTTCCTGTTGGGTGAATATTAAGATTTCCAGTTTTTGCTATTGTAAATAAAGCTGCTCCAAACATACGTTCTTAGGCTCTGGTCCTTTTATTTCCACAGGCTTTCCAAAAGCAGGATGGCCCCATCAAGGATAAAACTGTTCCTTAATCTTAGTAGCTATTTCCAGATTCTTAAGCACAAACGTGTTACAGTTCACTGTCACCAGCGGTGCACTCAATGCCCATGTTCCAAACCTTTGTCAGCAATGGATGTGTCCACCTTTTAAAAAATATCTGCCAACCTGATCAATGTTGTTTTTAAATGTTTATCCTCTGATACAAAAATTTTACACTTCTTAAATTTAGGTCCAAGAAAAATAATCATAAATGCAAACCACAGCATGTACATGGTATCATGATTTACAGCCGAAAGTCACAAACACCAAATTTATAATTCTAATTCTAATCGAATGCTAATAATAGTAAGATAATCCTCAAATTCACACAGGAAAGTAAAAAGTCAAAGATTAATAACCATTACAATTCTGAATAGAAGTTATGAGGACTTGCCCCAGTAAGACTTATTAGAAAGATGTGGTATTTAAGATTACGAAACTGTAGACAGTAAAGAAACGTAACAAATAGCAGAAGCCCAAACAGACCCACAATTATATGGAAGCCTGATTTTATTTTCACATGATCACACACATTCAAGACAAAAATCAATGAGGCAAAGAACAACTACACAATAAGGTTATCTAAATGGAGGAGGCGAATGAAATCCCTCTCTATGTAAAAATAATAATTAAAA